GAGCACCTGCACCTTGAATTGGGCTCGGAACTAATGGCACCGAACTTCAAAACTTTTGTGTAAAGCCAGGAAATTAGGCCATGCCTTACATCTGGCTTGTGCATATTTGAAACAAGGACGAGGGTTGCCAGGGAAACGGGAGCAATGAAGGGGAGGGGCCAGCGTGAAGGATAGGAGGTGTGAGGGAAATAAACTGGCAGTTGGAATTTTGTTGCCTTCCCTACTGCATGCTTTTGGATTAAAGCCTTCCAACTTTGTTTGTGAGGTAAATCATTTCACCAGAAAGCTACAGATCCAGACATGGGTATTAGAATGTAACCTTGCAGGACCCCACAGGTCAAAGGCCAGAGGTCCGAGCAGGTGTCCCCCTGCTTCACCAACTGGGTGCAATCCTCCAAGAAGGAATGGAGCCACTGCAAAGCAATGCCCCCAAGACCCATTCTGGAGAGCCATTCCAGAAGGATACCATGGTTGATGGTATTAAAGGCCACTGAGATATCCAAGAGAACCAACAAGGACACACTCCCCCTGTCTTGCTCTCTTTGGAGGTCATTCACCAAGTAGCAATGCCACTTACGAGCAAATCTTGGCTTTCTCGTGCTGTGTCTGCTTTGTAGGCCAGAATTTTTTCTCTCTCCTTCTTCAGAGTCTCCAAAAAATTCCAAATCTGATCCTGAAGAGGAAAAGAAAGCTCTTGGTCACTGCTTTTCATCAAGCTTTAGAATGGTTTCAAAGACCATACCATTAACCATACCACGTTTATTGAATTTTATGGAAGCTTTGGATAATGCTGACCTCTATTAGCAGAGGTCAACATTGACCTCTTCTTTTGTTACTAGTGCTTCCAGAATTTTCTTTACTCATAAAAAGTCCCTCCAAATGAAAAAAAATGTGTGATGCCATGTTTGTCCTGCTGCCGTCTTGCCCCCTCCTCATGATTTCCCCATCTCTAGTTTTCGTCAGTGAAAACCCACCTATAGCGCACACTCCCGCAATGGTCCTGTCACTTACTTTGATGCGATGGGTCCCTTCCTCTTCTGTGCCAGCACGATGGCAGCAAGATCACATCAGGGCTCAAAGTTATGGAATTTTGGATTTGTGATTTGGTAAGGCATTGGCACACTTTGGCAAAAATGCAAAAGACCTTGTACAACTGCAACTACCGTGGTTTGTAGCATTGAGCCATGGCACTTAAAGTGGAATTAAATTGTATTAATTCTATAATGTAGATGCACCCTTGATCCCTGAAAACATCTGGGTCTGGGGAAATACTGAACTGCCAGCCGCAGACCTGTATTGTGTGGTGGAGATGCACCACAACACTTTGTTAGGGGGGCCTATTTTACTCCCTCCTACCTTGTACTCCTTTGATGCTTCATCCAGAGGGATCACTTTGTGGTTTTCATGCTCCTTCGATCTGTCACACACCACACAGATGAGGTCTTCGTGGTCCTTGCAGAAGAGCTTCAGGGGCTCCTGGTGCCTCTGGCAGACTCTGCCCTTCTCTTCTGTCTTCTGGCTCCCCAGTTCCCTGGCAATCTCCACCAGGTTCGCCAGTTGCCAATTCCGCTTGCTGTCTTCTTTCTGCACTTTCTTCCTGCATTGTGGGCAGGAGGCCTCTTTTCCTTCCCAGCATCGATCCAGGCAGGATTGGCAGAAATTGTGCCCACAGGAGATGGTCACAGGTTCCTTGAAATACTCCAAGCAGATGGGACAGGTCAGTTCCCCACAGAGCTTCTTCACAGGGTCTCCAGAGGCCATGGCTGCAGATGCTGCTCCTCTGCGAAGACCAGACAAAAATAACAGCCTTACTTTCGTTTCTCAGACTTTCTCTTCCTGGAAAGCAGCTGAGGACTTTGCCTCTGCCCAACCTCTGGCGCTGCAACCTCTGAGCTCTCCCAGTGCTTCAGCCTTTGGGAACCTGGCAATCTCCACCAGGAGATTGCCAGGTTCCCTGTCTTCCTTGACAGGCTGTTCTCTATGGACATAACCCCCTTGCTTTAAAATGCTTCTTTGCCTACTGGTGTATTTCCAAGCACAATTCATTCAAAGGGATGGTCGCAACCTATACAGGCTGCTCTGAGTCCCCCTTGTAGGTCCTTCTCACCCTGCTGGGGACTCAGGGCGGATTACAATGTTCACGTATATAGCAAACATTCAGTGCCATAGACACACAACACATATAGACAGACAGTCAGAGGGTATTTAACATTCCGACTTCTGGCCACCAGGGGAGCTGTCACTTCACCATCCATCTGCAAAACTGATGAAGTACTTTCTGCATTTCCTGCATGCTTTCGCTAAAGATTTTTTATGGCCTCGTAAATTTGTTAAATTAGCCTCCCCACACAGGTGGTACCTAAATTTCCGACTTTACAGATGCAACTGACTTTCGGGTTAGTTATCAAAACTCAGGCATCCCATCTTCTATCCTGTAAGTGCAGGTCATGCCAGAGTGAAGCAGATTTTAAAGTTTCAAGAGTTTCCAGTACAGTCAAACCTGCCTCCCTGCAGGAACGATATCTATGGGTTGTTGTACCAAAATGGTTTCTTTTAATGGTTTCCTGAATTATCCATGATTTTGGTAATCGCTGTCCATTCTGGAATGTATTCTTCTTGAAAGCAGGAGTCAAAGGCCCCATCTACACTGATCATTTAATGCAGGTTCAAAGCTGTATTGAATAAAGTGGGTTTGCTGCACATTTGTGGCTTTTTCTGCACGTTTTGTGAAAGTTTGTTGTCTAGCTATCGCAGTTTGAAGCTAGCTTTGAGTTTTCATGGGAGTTTGTGGTCTGGCTGCCACAGTTTGAAGCTAGCTTTGAGTTTTCATAGGAGTTTGTGGTCTGGCTGCCACAGTTTGAAGCTAGCTACAACCTGCATTAAATGGTCAGTGTAGATGGGGGCTTGTTGTATTTCAAACTGTGCACATCTGAAATAAAACTTCGCTGTAAAACTATGTTTTTATGCAGTATTGATATGAAGCCAAAATCAGCACTCAGCAAGACTGCATCTTGTTGTTGTTCATTCGTTCAGTCGTCTCCGACTCTTCATGACCTCATGGACCAGCCCATGCCAGAGCTCCCAGTTGGCCGTCACCAACCCCTTCTCCTTCAAGGTCAGTCCAGTCACTTCAAGGATGCCATCCATCCATCTTGCCCTTGGTTGGCCCCTCTTCCTTTTGCCTTCCACTTTCCCCAGCATAATTGTCTTCTCCAAGCTTTGCTGTCTCCTCATGATGTGGCCAAAGTACTTCAACTTTGTCTCTAGTATCCTCCCCTCCAATGAGCAGTCAGGCTTTATTTCCTTGAGGATGTACTGGTTGGATCTTCTCGCAGTCCAAGGCACTCTCAGAACCTTCCTCCAACACCACAGTGTAGACTGCATCTACACTGTAGAATTAGTGCACTTTAATTGCCACTGTTCAATACTCTGGAGTTCTGTAATATGTACTTTGGTGAACTACCAACATTCTTTTAGAGAGGCTAAAACTACAACTCCCATGATCCCATAGCATTGATCCATGGTGGTGAAATTATGTTACGAGAAACTTTGGAGATGAGCCCAAGTCTAAACACAAAATTTATTTATAATCCATATACATCTTATATGCATAGCCTGAAGGTAATTTCATATGCAACATTTTAAATAATGTTGTGTTTGAAACAAAGTTGGTTTACACTGAACCCTCCAAAAGCAAAGATGTCACTGTCTCAGTCACTCTTGTAGACAATTTTGAATTTTGGAGTATTTCGTATTTCCTAGTAAGAGGCGCTCAATGCAGGCCTCTCCATGCCCATGATTCCTAGCACTGGATGTGTGTGTGATTTGAAAACGTGCTGGAAGAAGCAAAGACCACCAGCATTGAAGCGATGGTCCTCCGCCATCAACTCCGCTGGACCGGCCACGTTGTCCGGATGCCCGACCACCGTCTCCCAAAGCAGTTGCTCTACTCCGAACTCAAGAACGGAAAACGGAATGTTGGTGGACAGGAAAAGAGATTTAAAGATGGGCTCAAAAACTCTGGCAGACACTGAGAATTGGGAAGCCCTGGCCCTTGACCACTCCAGCTGGAGGTCAGCTGTGACCAGCAATGCTGCAGAATTTGAAGAGGCACGAATGGAGGGCGAAAGGGAGAAGCGTGCCAAGAGGAAGGTGCGTCAAGCCAACCCCGACCGAGACCGCCTTCCACCTGGCCCTCACTGCGGAAGAAGATGCAGAGCAAAAATAAGGCTCCACAGCCACATACGGACCCACAAGAATACTGGAAGACAATCCTCCTCGGAAAACGAGGGATCGCCTAAGGTAAAAAAAAAAGGTGATTTGAAAGCATTTGGAAGGTCACCTGTTCCATTGGAGAGCAAAGGGGTCACTCTGTCAGCTGCCCATACGAATGACTTTCTAGTATTTTGGATTGTGGAATTTCAGATCAGGGATGCTCAGTCTGTATTTAGCTGCTGCTGTCCCACATGAGAAGTTTTGCAAGTATCTCCCCAGAAACATGGCTGGAAAAAACTTGTTGTCGACCTTCACAACAAACAGGGAGCAGCCACCAGCCGGTTTTCATGTCTTACAAAGACACATGCTTGGCAGACAGCATAAGTCCATCAATCCACCTTTTCCCCCTTTTGTCCTAATCTCTGAACTGTTTAGGACACGTGGCCATCCATTGTCCCAAATCTGGGAACACCATGGGAACTATATCCCCAGGAATAAACTCACCAGCGCCCATTGTCCCAAGGCCTAAACGCCACTCCATTCTCAAATCCTCCCGCTTTCAGAGTGGGAGAACACACCAGACAGAAGGCAGCTGTAAGTTTAACCAATGCCAGTTTATTCTACACTATGCACCAATTACAGATGTGGGATTACGCTGTGTCCCCCAGCACCCACTTTGGCCATTGCTGAATAAATCCATTTCTGATCCTGTCTTCAGCGGATCAATCAGAGCTCAGGCAAACAGGGAGACCCGACATTTCAGACAAACAGGACCACTGCATCCATCTTCCAGGCATGAAACAAGTGATACCCAAACATTACCAAGACAAGTATTTTACTATATACAGAGTGAATCTCCTCTGGGGTAGAAAAAGAGGCACAAGGGATCATATTGAAACATATGTTGGATAACGGGAGTGCAGAAAAGTATTTCAGAGGACAGAAGAAGGAAATACATGGCTTCAAGTTGGCAAGGGGATGAGACAAGGTTTATCACCCCTTTTGTTTAACTTCACAGACAAGTCCTCCCTACATCCCTGGGGAATGCCAAGAAACGCAAGAGCAAATAGACTTACAACTGAATTCCGATAAATGGGATTCTTGACAAAAAACAGATTTGGATCTTTTCTTCCCTCTTTGTTGTTCTTGTTGTAGTTGGCTTTCCAAATGGGAGGAAGATGTCCCCGGCTGACCCATGAGCGGAGCACTGCCATGAGGAGTGGCTTCATCATTCACACTCCAGCCTCCCAGTCAAGTTTTGACACAGATGTAAAGAGAGAGCAGAGAGGCTTCAGAAAGAGAGCAAAAACAACCCTCAGCCCCACATCTCTGGAGATAAAGCTTGGCTGGTGGGAATCTTTGGACGTTGCTCTCCATCCTTAGGGAGAGAGCTCCAGTTGGTTTTTATTACTCACATAAAAGAAGGGAAGGAGGGTCTCTCCTGAGAAAGAGGCTGGAGGGTATTCCAAGATCAGGGCTGCTGAGTCTGCATCGTAAAAGGCCACCCGACCCCCTTCATAGTTCAGAGTCACTCGGACCCTCTTGGGCTTCTCTCTCAGAGTCAAAGATAGGGGCACACATCTACCTCCTGACTTTCCCACTGTCCAGATCCCAGTGCCAGGGCCACAGGGAAAGGTTCCCTTTCTCTGCACAGACTTCCTGCAAACTCCCACGAACCATTCTTCCTCATTCTTCACAAGGACTTCCCAAAAATGCCTGCCCCCAGTAAATCCCTCCTGGCCCAGCACAAAAGGATGATGAGTGAATCTCTCAGGATTGTCAGGAAGATCTTGCCATTTCTCCCCATGTGTCACACGCCTGCGATCTTCAGAGAGGATGAGCCGAGGATGGGCTGTGTTTGGATCCAGAGTCACGTGTGCTGTTGGTGGCGGAAACAGATCAGGGGTGAAGTGAAAAAGAAGGAAAGGAAGGAAGGAAGGAAGGAAGGAAGGAAGGAAGGAAGGAAGGAAGGAAGGAAGGAAGGAAGGAAGGAAGGAAGGGTAAACAGATGGAAGATTAGCTTTCATTTCTGATTCTTAAAAATTGACAGGGAAATATTCCCTCACCCTCTCAAATCTAGACTGGTTCTACATTATGTTACTCTTCTTCCTATGGCCAACACTTGAGCATGGAGTGATGGGACTATGACTCTAGGGACCCGGGTTCGATTCCCCGTCCGTCATGGAAACCCACAGGGTAACCTTGTGTAACCTTGTGCCAATCCCACACTCTCCGCCCCAGAAAACCCTATGACAGGATCGTCTCGGTTTACCAGAAGTCAGAAAGAATTTAAAGGCAGGCTAATCACCTGGCTTTATGCCAATATCAAATTCCCACCTATTTCACATTGGGAAGGGGACTCATTCTTTATCTAGGGGTGCATAATGTGTGCCACTAAAATAAGCTTGAAGCAAAGAGCCATTAAAAAATCAGTGTTTGGGTTATTTTGACACTCTTTGCGGAATTCTATATAGAATCCAGACACATGCCATTGTTCAGAGCTTTAAAAATCTACTCAGACAGGCGAACCGCACTCCACTCTCTCGGCCTCAATGCAACCCTCTGTGAAAAAATCTGTTTGTTTGTTTGTTTACCTTTTTCCTGCTGAAGCCCAGATTCCAGAGAGGCTGGAGAGAGAAAAAAGAGAGTAAGGCTTCGCACAACATGGTGACTCTCAGAAACCCAGGGATAACCAACACAGGAAGGCTGACATCCTGCACCCAAGAAATATAGTGTGATTTTACCCACGGAGAGTTACATCTCATTGATCAAAATGTTCTCTCTCGGAGTCTCCAAGTCCCCTCCAGAGTGACTCAATTGTAATGTCATGCTGGGGGAATAGAGATCCCTACAGAGAACACCCCTCGAAGAATCTCCAAGTGCAACTTCTTTCAGATGGTAAACTTCTCACTCGGTAACCTAGGTCCCTTCTACACTGCCATATAAAATCCTGATTATCTGCTTTGAATTGGATTATATGGCAGTGTATACTCATATATTCCAGTTCAAAGCAGATAATTATTTCGGACCTTAAGATCAGCCAGGGAGGCACTCCTATCGATCCCACTTCCCTCACAAGTGAGGTTTGAGGGGACGAGGCCTTCTCGGTAGTGGCCCCCAACTCTTGCCTATTTCCTTGTTCCTATTTCTATTGGTTTGAGGTTTCAGTATACCCAAAGACCAGGAACTGCATCTTTGTAAGAGCAAGGCTGGGAACCCATTGAGTGAGTTAAAAACTGGCTATTCCAGCAGGCTTCTGATAATGGTTAAGAGCATTAACCCACCTTAGTGGACAGGACTTGAATGGCTGTTAGAACTATATCTCACAATGCTGGATATCCTGATCATAGGAATTGGCTGGTTTTAAACGGCATGTATATTTCTACTGTTTTTAGAGGGCAAAATAGTTTTTAAATTTGTTTTACTAATATTTATACTATTGTGTTTTTGTTGCATTAAGTGACATGTGATGAGTGTCAGTATCTGTTTATTATTGAAATCCCTGAGTCCCCTCAGGGAGAGGGGTGGGATACAAATACAGCTTATTATTTTACTGATACAAAACCACAGTAAGTCACAGCAAATGAGATTTATATGCTGCTGCATTTCGTATGACAAAATCACAAGTCGAACACTTCCCAAGCGTCTAGGACTGTGTGATGTATTTCCAAATGATGCGCGCAGATCCAAGTAAGGTGGCCTTTTGCAATTGACAGATCGTGATTTTGTCAATGTTTACTGTTTCCAAATGCCATTGTTGCTGTTGTTGTTGTTATCTGTTTTGATAATATGGATTTTATATGGCAGTGTGTCATAAGCGATGGTTGTTTTGACAATGGCGACATGGGTGGGAGGAAATAACAGGAAAACAGGGGGAAATCCCAAGCCCCAAGCTGCTTTGAGTCTCCTTCAGGGGAGATAAAGCGGGAGATAATAATAATAATAATAATAATAATAATAATAATAATAATAATAATTTTATTGATTAGCCCTTAGGCCATATTATAATAAGAAACAGAACAACAAGGCCTGACAAGACCTGATCACACTCCACGTAGAAAGTTAAAATAAGACACTTATAATAATACAGTAAATACATATGATAAGACATGATAAAACTGATAAACTGATCAAGCTGAGTATATACATCATATTTCATTATCACCCCTACAATTTACCCCAATCAGCCCTACATATGTGGTTCTCAGACGTATTGTTTTGCTTAAGTACAGAGCTGTTTTATATGTTATTTTTGGGTCTTGGCCACACATAAAATATGTTGTTCTGATGTGAGATTCCCAATACATTGTCTGTTTGATATATGGACCAAGGTGGAAGTCTCTCTCCTTTTGATACAATTTGCAATCAAATAATATGTGTGCTATATCTTCAATATGTGCCCCACAGATACAACTCCGTTCATTATAAGGGATGCTGTAATAATAATAATAATAATAATAATAATAATAATAATAATGGGTGCTGTGCCAAAAGATCTCAGCTGGCATTTGGAAACAATAAACATTGACAAAATCACGATCTGTCAACTGCAAAAGGCCACCTGACTTGGCTCTGCACGCATCATTCGAAAATACATCACAGAGTCCTAGACACTTAGGAAGCGTTTCACTTGTGATTTTGTGATACGAAATCCAGCATCTAGATCTCGTTTGCTGTGACATACTGTGTTTTTGTGTCAATACAATAATAGTAATCGTCCCTGTCTGGATAATGAAACAGTACCGAACAAGGTATTGTCGAAGGCTTTCATGGCCGGAATCACTCAGTTCTTGTGGGTTTTTTCGGGCTATATGGCCATGTTCTAGAGGCATTTCTCCTGACGTTTTGCCTGCATCTATGGCAAGCTTCCTCAGAGGTGAGGTCTTTTGGAAACAATAAACATTGACAAAATCACGATCTTGTCACCTCACCTCTGAGGAAGCTTGCCATAGATGCAGGCGAAACGTCAGGAGAAATGCCTCTAGAACATGGCCATATAGCCCGAAAAAACCCACAAGAACTGAGTACCGAACAAATTAATACAGAAAATAATACAATTTTGTTTCACATTTGAAATTGTTTTGATTGGCATTCCAATAGTGGCTCTAAGTTTCCAAATGCTTTGGAAGTTTTCTCCCCTTTCAGACCAATGTCACATCTCATGAAAATCCTTGCAGACATTCTTCCTTACTGCTCCAGAAAGGGATTGATATCACAGAAGTCCCAGATCTTCCACTTCAGGGCAGGAGGAAAGACTGCAGAAGTCTCAAATTCCTCCTTGTTCTTATACCTGGAGGAGAAAGAACAATCTCAGAGGATGCACAAACAGAACGAATGCAGGTTGACACCACTTTAACTCCCCCATGGCACAATGCTATGCAATAATTTACGGGGTCTTCTCTGCCAAAGAGCGCTGGTGCCTGGATTCCACATCATTGAGCCATGGCAGTTCAAGACAATTTCAAACTGTAAACTTTAAATTTACATTCTCTTGGCACTGCATTTGAATCCAGATGGTGTGTTGTCATGTACACATTTTATGGTATGTATTCATGGTGATGTGCTTTGGCTGGATTGTGCTCTTTCTCAAGTCGTGGGGACCAACACCGCGCAGGGGAGCGCCACTGCCATTCTTAAATATCTCAGGACAAGAGGGGGCCACTTCACACCGGCAGCGCTCAAGCTGTTTGAAGCCAAGTCATTAGCCTAACTCTTGTATGGTGCTCAGCTGGGCCCCTTCCCCAGTTTTGCCCCATTAGAGCTGGTTCAGTCAAAGTTTCTGAGATCGGCCTTGCAGGTCCCTAAATGCGTTTCTAATGCCACCCTGCAACTAGAGACGGGCTTTATGAGAGTGGAGGCCAGGGTGTGGGTGGCCATACTCAACCTCTGGCTCAGACTATCCCGTGCACCCTTTGGTCTTGCCCCACTAACCATGAAGGATGACTTCCAATCCACATGGAAGCAGGCGGTAGCATCAAAAATCTCCTCATTGGGATTTTCTCCAGGTCTACTATTCGCTATGGATTACAATCAAGCCAAAGCACTTATTAAACAACGTATCACAGACACAGAGCGACAACTAGATCTGGCCTCGGTTCCAACCTTCCTTATCAATGAAGACAGCAGATATCTTGCCTCCCCTATGGCATATTTAACAAACTTAGAGGTTCCCATTCATCGAAGGGCTTTCACCCTGGTTCGATGCCACGCTCTCTCATCAGCTGTACTCAAAGGCCGCTACCGGAAGATCCCTTTCCCAGAGAGACTCTGCCCCTGTGACTTGGGTCTTGTAGAAACAATAGAACATCCCGTTTAGACTACTGCAACGCTCTCTACGTGGGGTTGCCTCTGAAGACTGCCCGGAAGCTTCAATCAGTCCAACGTGCGGCAGCCAGATTGCTAACAGGGGCGGGGTACAGAGACCATACGACCCCTCTGTTACGCCAGCTCCACTGGCTGCCGATCAGCTTCCGGGCACAATTCAAAGTGCTGGTTTTGACCTATAAAGCCCTAAACGGCTCTGGCCCAGTTTACCTGTCCGAACGGATTCTCCCCTATGAACCATCAAGGCTATTAAGATCTTCTGGGGGGGGGGGCTGCTCTCGGTCCCACCACCCTCACAATCACGGTTGGTGGGGACGAGAGACAGGGCCTTCTCGGTGGTGGCTCCCCGGCTTTGGAACTCCCTCCCACTAGAGGTTAGATCTGCCCCCTCCCTCCTGACGTTCAGGAAATCACTAAAAACCTGGCTCTGGAATGTGGCATTCGAGGACTGAACCTAGAACCTTCCCTGTGATGAATTATGATGAACTGTGACTACGAACATGACTATGACTATGACTGGATTGATGATTTGGCGTAGGAAACTGTAATGATGTAATGATGATGTTTTTATTGTACTGTGTTGTACTATTGTAATATGTAATGATGTGCACCTGTTGTTCTTTTATATGATTGTACTTTATATATGCTGTAAACCGACCTGAGTCCCTCGTCGAGGTTGAGAAGGCCGGTATAGAAAACTTATAGAACATGTGCTCCTCCAGTGCCCGTTCTACAGGGATATCCGTGCCAGGCTTATCTTACCTCTGTTATACAAGCACCCAGCCATTCAGGACAATTTTATACCTCCATGCTACTTGCAGATATTAATTCAGCTACAACCTACAATGTTGCAAAGTTCTGTGCAGCAGCATACAAAATCCGTCAGGGAATGACTAGTCCCAAAAGTTAACTGTGTGTCCAGTAATCTTCTTCTCTGAATCTACAATTTGGTGATGGATCTGGGCATTGTATGTTTTTACCCTGTTTCCCCTTCCCTTCTGCTCCCTCACCCATATTGTGCTTCAGTCGTTATATTTATATTTTTAATGTACCAATGTGACTATTTCCTGTGCTGGTCAATGACCGAAAGAAATGATTTGATTTGAAGTCGTGGGGAGAGGTGGATAACAAATTAAAGTTGTTCTTGTTATCAAACTGCACTAATTCTAGAGTGTAGATGCTCCACAGAATCAAAGAGTTGAAGGGGTCTCATTGGCCACCCAGTCCAATTCTGCCTGTGAACACCAACCAAACACAGACTCCTGCAATGTGCCCCTGCTTTTGAGAGTCACGTATTTCAGGTGGAAATTTGAAGTTTAGCAGGAGGAGGAGAGGAAACTCTTACCCCGGTAAGGTGCTTCTGATATCCTGTAAATGAAGGGAAAAAAGAACTCAGCAGAGGGATTTGCATGGAGACTACTCTCATATATCTGAAGCAACAGGGTATCCACCTAATAGAAATAATCGAAGCACAAACTAAGGAGGAGGCAAGGAGATCTATGTAACCACTGGCACTACTTTGCAAACAGCCTTTTAGCTGAGCCACCAAAACACTGGTCAAACGCAAGCCCCACTATATTAGGAATTTGGATCTCTTCAGTCCAACCAGATGCAATGCAAGAATGCACAATCAAAGCATTCCCACCAGATGGCCATACAGCCCAGGAGGGCAAAGCAGGACTTCCTCCACAAACTAAGGAGGAGATGGGTAGATCTATGTAACCACTGGCACTATTTTGCAAACGGCATTTTGGCTGAGCCACCAAATGCAAGACCCAGTATATTAGGAATCTGGATATCTTCAGTCCAACCCGAGACAATACAAGAATACACAATCAGAGCACTCCCACCAGACTGCCATCCATCTTCTATTTAAAATCCTCCAGAGAAGGAGACGTAGCCACAGTCTGAGTCATAGAAACAGAATGATAACATATTGGAGCTGGCAGTTCGATTGTGCAAAGTTTTGCAACAGTGAAGAAGTTAGAAAAAATAGAAAGAGAGAAAGAGCTGGATGTGTTTTCTTAATTAAAAATATAATTTCATATATCTATGTGGGGGGGGGGGGGGGAGTGATGGTCTTTTTTTGATAACACATGTCCAAGACATAACAAAATGAAGCATGTGCGTGAACTGATTCTGTTGGATAGACGAGTGTGACAGTGGACTATACAGGAAATCATTTGCAAATCAGCCAGGGCTCTGCCAATGCAATAATCTACAACACACCTGGGTTTCAAAAAGTTTGTGGAAAACAGGTGTCAAAATGACTTACAGAGGAACACAAACAGAAGAGTTGCTTACAGTTTTCTGAGATTCTCAATGGCCAGTACTGGAATATTATCAGGAAGAAGGTTCAGTAATTTGCGGGGCTCACTACACTGAAGAACGGAGGCCTTCCATTCAGACAAAATGGAGAGGACTGGTATCCGAGGGCACTGTGTTGTTGCAGGGCAATGCATGTCTGCACTGTGAAAGCATCCTCCCTATAGTCCTGATCTTGCCCATTGGACTATCACCTATTTGAATCCCTGAAAGAAACCCTATGAGGACGAAGGTTCATGTCTGATGTAGAAGTGTAGACAGCGTTGAAGACAGCGGTCTATTCATTTTAAATAAGGGAATACAAAAGCTTGTTGACAGATGGACAAACGGTATTGGAACACAGGGAGATTATGTCCTAAATGTTGTATTTGGCTTTTCTGAAAGTTGGTTAAAATAAATTCTGTAGCCAGACTGCATATAATTTTTGACATGTTTTGTGTGATCGATCGGCTTTCATGGCTGGAATCACTGGGTTGCACTACAATTTTTGAGCTATATGGCCATGTTCCAGAAGCATTCTCTCCTGACGTTTTGCCTGCATCTATTGCAGGCATCCTCAGAGGTTGTGAGGTCTCACATACAGCTCAAAAAACGTACAGCAACCCAGATCGATCTGATCTCTTAGAGATAGAACCCAAACTAGTGTTGTTGTTTACTTGTTCAGTTACTTCTGACTCTTCGTGACCTCATGGACCAGCCCACGCTAGAACTCCCTGTCGGCTGTGGTTAGTATTAAATTCATTTATGTTACTTCTTTGCCTTATAAACACAGCACAAAGCTAATGTCATACAACAGTTTGTGCACACAGAACCATGAGAAAACTGAATTGTCACTGTCTCAGCCCTTACCTGGAGGAGTTCACTTGCCGGCTGCTGATGCTTCTCCTCCGTCTCTTGGATGAGTTTCGAGAGAGAGGAGAGTTCTTTAGAGAGTTTGGACAGATGTATTTCCACTATGGCTGAAATCTCCTTCTCCACCTCTTCCATTTATGCCAGCAGATTCCTCTCTTGTTCTTCTAGAAACTGGTGCATGAGCCTGAATGCAGACACAGTCTTCGCCTTCTCTCTCTGGGTTTTCGCCTAGAATAAAGGAAAGGAGAAACAGGAGTGAGAGGCAGACAGAGGGTATTTGGAGTGAGTTCTCTGGGTTTCTTTGAAGTGGAGTTTACACCTCTTCACATAGAAAATGTCAGTGAAAGTACTTTGTGAAGACCTGCAAAGGCCTGACACTGGAATGGGTTTGGGTCAATATTTTCTGTAGGCCATCAGGTCTCTTACAATGGGAGATATTTTTCACAAAAGGAATTCCGTTTATTCAAACTCACATTCAAGGCTACAATAACAAAAATAATAACAACTTTTTTCTTCTACCCCACCCCCATCTCCCTAAAGGGACTCGGGGCGGTTGGCATATGGGACAGAATGTCCACAAGACATAAAAGCAAAACAATCCATCACCACAAAAACACAATAAAATGAAATATGGTAAAATTTAACAATCCAGATAAAAACACAATTAAATAGAGAATATATAAGAATATAAAGCAGCAGCAATGAAACCTCCATCAAAACAATGCTCGACAAAAACCAATAAATAAAATGGGTGTGAACAGGCTAGAAAAGGGGGGTGGGCATGGGATAGTCAGTGCAAAGCAGCGTACCACAGGGCCCAGGGGCTGGATGAAGAGCAGAGACCAGAGAACTATCTGGAGAACTAGGGACTTGGCATATGTAACTAGGGACTAGTCATTCTCAAATGCTTGCTGAAACATCCAGGTTTCAAATCCCTGTGGAAGGAGGAGAGTGTGGGGGCTTGTCTGATCTCTCTGGGGAGGGTGTTCCAAAGTCGGGGAGCCACCACTAAGAAGGCCCTCTCCCTTGTCCTCACCAGCCATGCTTGCGACAGTGGTGGGACCGAGAGGAGGGCCTCCCTGTTAGCCCCCATCCAGTCCATCATGGCTGCCAGGCACTGGTCCAGGATCTGGGGGCTTCCTTGGAATTTGGTGGAAAGGAGTAATAGAGTTGAGTGTCTTCTGCGTACTGATGGCACCGAACTTCCAAACCTTTGTGTGGAGCCAGGAAATTAGGTCATGCCTTACATCTGGCCTGTGTATATTTGAAACAAGGATGAGGGTTGCCAGGGAAATGGGAGCAATGAAGGGGAGGGGCCAGTGTGAAGGATAGGAGGTGTGAGGGAAATAAACTGGCAGTTGGAATGTTGTTGCATTCCCTAATGCATGCTTTTGAATTAAAGCCTTCCAGCTTTGTTTGTGAGGCAAATATTTGCCAGAAAGCTACAGATCCAGACATGGGGAATAGAATGGAACCTTGCAGGACCCCATAGGTCTAATATCAGGGGTCTGAGCAGTGGCTCCCAGCTTCACCAACTGGGTGCAACCCTCCAAGAAGGAATGGAGCCACTGCAAAGCAATGCCCTCAAGACCCTCGAGACCCATTCCAGAGAGCCGCCCCAGAAGGATAACATGATTGATGGTATCAAAAGCCACTGAGATATCCAAGAGAACCAACAAGGACATACTCCCCCGTCTATCTTTTTTTGGAGGTCATTCACCAAGTAGCAATGCCACTTACAAGCAAATCTTGGCTTTCTTGTGCTGTGTCTGCTTTGTAGGTCAGAATTTTCTTTCTCTCCTTCTTCAGAGTCTCCAGACACTTCCAAATCTGATCCTGAAGAGGAAAAAAAAGCTCTTGGTCACTGCTTTTCTTCAAGCTTTAGAATGGTTTCAAAGATCATACCATTAACCATACCACGTTTATTGAATTTTATGGGAGCTTTGGATAATGTTGACCTCTATTGGAAGCCCACTCTTCTTATGTTACTACTGCTTCCACAATTTTCTTTACTAATAAGAAGTCCCTCCAAATGAAGATGCACATGATGGATGCTATCACAAGAGGCAGGCAAACTCTTGCATCCCTATTGCATGATGCCATGCTCATCCTGCGGCTGTCTTGGCCCCTCCCCATGATTTTCCCATCTCTAGTTATTGTCAGTGAAAACCTACCTATCCCTCACACTCCCGCAATGATCCTCTCACTTACCTTGATGCGATGGGTCCCTTCCTCTTCTGTGTCGGCACAATGGCAGCAAGATCACATCAGGGCTCAAAGTTATGGAATTTTGGATTTGTGGTTTGGTAAGGCATTCGCACACTTTGGCAAAAATGCAAAAGACCTTGTACAACTGCAACTACCATAGTTTGTAGCATTGAGCCATGGCACTTAAAGTGGAATTAAACTGTATTAATTCTATAATGTAGATGCACCCTTGATCCCTGAAAACTTCTGGGTCTGGGGAAATACTGAACTGCCACAACGCCTCATTAGGGGTCCTTATTTTATCTCCTCCTACCTTGTACTCCTTTGATGCCTCCTCCAGAGGGATCACCTGGTGGGTTTTGTGCTCCTTTGACCTGTCACACACCACACAGATGGGGGTTTTGTGGTCCTTGCAGAAGAGCTTCAGGGGCTCCTGGTGCCTCTGGCAGACTCTGCCCTTTTCCTCTGTCTTCTGGCTCCCCAGTTCCTTGGCAATCTCCACCAGGTTCGCCAATTGCCAATTCCGCTTGTTGTCTTCTTTCTGCACTTTCTCCATGCACTGTGGGCAGAAGGCCTCTTTCCCCTCCCAGCATTGATCCAGGCAGGCTTGGCAGAAATTGTGCCCACAGGAGATGGTCACAGGCTCCTTGAAATACTCCAAGCAGATGGGACAGGCCAGTTCCTCGCAGAGCTTCTTCACAGGGTCCCCAGAGGCCATGACTGCAAATGCTGCTCCTCTGCGAAGTTCAGACTTTTTCTTCCTGGAAAGCAGCTGAGGACTCTGCCTCTGACCAATCTCTGGCGTTGCAACCTCTGAGCTCTCCCAATGCCTCAGCCTTCGGGAACCTGGACATGAGACCCTTCCCCTTCCTCTGTCTTCCTTGACAATATGCAAACTGTTCTCTATGGACAGAACTCCCTTGCTTTAAAATGCTTCTTTGCCTACTGGTGTATTTCCAAGCACAATTCATTCAAAGGGCTGGTCGCAACCTATACAGGCCGCTCTGAGTCCCCCTTGTGGGGAGAAGGGCGGGATAGAAATGTACGAAATAAATAAATAATAAATAAATACATCTCTATGCAGCTTAGGTCCAGCCTATCTGAAAGACCAAATCTCCCCATGGGAGAGTTTCTCAAACTGTGCTCCTCCAGCTGGGAATTCTAACAGCTGGAAAGCTGGCAATAGCATGGATGAAAAGGATTCTGGAGGTTAAAGAAACATGAGGTGCAACATTTAACTTAAAAGTTTCAAAAAGTTTATGAAACCAAAAAGAAGTCCATTTCTAGGTAGAAAAGGTGGGGTGGAGACTATCTAGCAGAGAGTAAATAGAGATATCGTATAAATCCTCATTTCTTCTCAGGTCAAGATTCAAAGACTACATTCGGCATTCAAACTCTGACTCAAAAGCTTAGAGCGACTGAGCAGAAGGTCTCTTTCTGGGAGGGCTGAAAACCAATGGCATGCAACCTGAGAATGATCACTCTAAGTCATCAGATCTCCTGATATGCAATATTTTATTTATTGATTGATTGATTTACAGTATTTATATTCAGCCTGCAGGGGACTCAGGGCGGATTACAATGTTCAAATACATGGCAAACATTCAGTGCCATAGATACACAACACATATAGACAGACAGTCAGAGGCTATTTAACATTCCAACTTCTGGCTTCCAGGGGAGCTGTCACTTCACCGTCCATCTGCAAAACTGATGAAGTGTTCCTGCATGCTTTCGCTAAAGATTTTTTATGGCCTCGTAAATTTGTTAAATTAGCCTCCCCACACAGGTGGTACCTAAATTTCCGACTTTACAGATGCAACTGACTTTCGGGTTAGTTATCAAAACTCAGGCATCCCATCTTCTATCCTGTAAGCGCAGGTCATGCCAGAGCGAAGCAAATTTTAAAGTTTCAAGAGTTTCAAATACAGTCAAACCTGCCTCCCTGCAGGAATGATATCTATGGGTTGTTGTACCAAAAATGGTTTCTTTTAATGGTTTCCTGAATTATCCATGGTTTTGGTAATCGCTGTCCATTCCGGAATGTATTCTTCATGAAAACAGGAGTCAAAGGCCCCATCTACACTGATCATTTAATGCAGGTTCAAAGCTGTAAATAAATAAAGTGGGTTTGCTGCACATTTGTGGCTTTTTCTGCATGTTTTGTGAAAGTTTGTTGTCTAGCTATCGCAGTTTGAAGCTAGCTTTGAGTTTTCATGGGAGTTTGTGGTCTGGCTGCCACAGTTTGAAGCTAGCTACAACCTGCATTAAATGGTCAGTGTAGATGGGGGCTTGTTGTATTTTAAACTGTGCACATGTGAAATAAAGCTTCGCTGTAAAACTATGTTTTTATGCAGTATTCATATGAAGCCAAAATCAGCACTCAGCAATGCTGTATCTACACTGTAGAATTAGTGCATTTGGAGATACTTTAATTGCCATGGTTCAATGCTATGGATTTTGTAGTTTGGTGAGCCACCAACACTCTTTTAGAGAGGCTAAAACTACAACTCCCATGATACCATAGCATTGATCCATGGTGGTTAAAGTACGTTACAAGACACTTTGGAGATGGGGCCCAAGTCTAAACACAAAATTCATTTATGTTGCATATACACCTTATACTCATAACCTAAGGGTAATTTCATATGCAACATTTTAAATAATGTGCTTGAAACAAAGTTGGTATACACTGAACCCTTTGAAAGCAAAGATGTCACTATCTCAATCAACTTTGTGGGCAATTTTGATTTTTGGAGCATTTCATATTTCCTGATAAGAGGCGCTCAATGCAGGCCTCTCCATGCTCATGGTTGCTAGCACTGGGTGTGTGTGTGATTTGAAAGCATTTGTTCCATTGGAAAGCAAAGGTGTCACTCTCTCAGCTACCCATATGGATGACTTTCTAGTATTTCGGATTGTGGAATTTCAGATCTGAGATGCTCAGTCTGTATTTGGCTGCTGCTGTCCCATATGAGAAGTTTTGCAAATATCTCCCCAGAAACATGGCTGGAAAAAGCTTGTTGTCAACCTTCATAACAAACAGGGAGCAGCCACCAGCCGGTTTTCATGTCTTACAAAGATCCTTGCTTGGCAGACAGCATAAGTCCATCAACTCACCCTTTCACCCTTTTGTCCTAATCTCTGAACCCTTTAGGACATCTGGCCATCCATTGTCCCATATCTGGGAATACCATGGAAATTATATCCCCAGGAATAAACTCACCAACGCCCATTGTCCCAAGGCCTAAACGCCACTCCATTCTCAAATCCTCCCGCTTTCAGAGTGGGAGAACACACCAGACAGCAGGCAGCGTCAAGTTTAACCAATGCCAGTTTATTCTACACTATGCACCAATTACAAACTGTAAATGAATGTACTTTAGAACCAATGGGATTGAAGATGGCAATCACAGCATGTGACCAATCTCTATAAAATGACTGGGAGGCACATCAGATGTGGGATTACGCTGTGTCCCCCAGCACCCACTTTGGCCATTGCTGAATAAATCCATTTCTGATCCTGTCTTCAGTGGATCAATCAGAGCTCAGGCAAACAGGGAGACCCGACATTTCAGACAAACAGGACCACTGCATCCATCTTCCACGCATGAAACAAGTGATACCCAAACATTACCAAGACAAGTATTTTACTATATACAGAGTGAATCTCCTCTGGGGTAGAAAAAGGCGGGATATAAATATAGTAAATAAATAAAAATAAAGAAATACTCAAACGTTACCAAAACAAGTATTTTATTATATACAGAGTAAATACGCCAGCTGTCCAAGATGCGTTCAGAAAACAAAGAGGCACAAGGGATCATATTGAAACATATGCTGGATAATGTAGTGCAGAAAAGTATTTCAGAGGAAAATCAATCTGTGATTTATCATTTACAACAAAGCCTTTGAGTATGCAGATCATGAAAAACTATGGATTGTTAATAAAGAAATGGGTTGATTTTCCTAACGTGTAACTTCTGCTCAGGACAAGGGGCCACTCAGAGGACAGAAAAAACCAAATTGTTTCCAGTTGGCAAGGGGATGAGGCAAGGCTGCACTTTATGGTCCCCTTTATTTAACTTCACAGCCAAGTCCTGGAAAATGCCAGGAAAGGGAGGGGGAAATGGACTTACAACTGAATTCCAATAAATGGAATTATTGACGAATAATTGATTTGGGTCTTTTCTTCCCTCTTTGTTGTTATTGTTGTAGCTGGGCTTTGCAAATGGGAGGAAGGAGTCCCCGGCTGTCCTGAGCACTGTCATGAGGAGTGGCTTCATCATTCACATTCCAGCCTCCCAGTCAGGTTTTCACAAAGATGTAAAGAGAGAGCAGAAAGGTTCTAGAAAGTTAGCAAAGAGAAACCACAGCTCCACATCTCTGGAGATAAAGCTCCTCTTGTGTCTCAGCTGGTTTCAGTCTTTGGACATTGCTCTCCATCTTTAGGGAGAGAGTGCCAGTTGGGCTTTTCCATCCACATAAAAGAGCGGGAGGAGGGTCTCTCCTGAGAAAGAGGCTGGAGGGTATTCAAAGATCAGGGCTGCTGAGTCTGCATCGTAAAAGGCCACCCGACCCCATTCATGGTTCAGTGTCACTCGGACCCTCTTGGGCTCCTCACTCAGAGTCAGAGATGGGGATTCGTTGTTGTTGTCGGAGAAACTGTATCCATCCCCCCATTTTCCCACTTCCCAGATTCCAGCGTCAGGACCAAAGTGGTTCGAGTTCTTTCTCTGCACAGAGTTTCTGGCAACTCCCACAGCCCATTCCTCCTCACTCCCCACAAGGACTTCCCAAAAATTCCTGCCTCCTGTGAATCCCTCCTGGCCCAGCACACAAGGATATCCAGTGAATCTCTCTGGATTGTCAGGAAGATTTTGCCTTTTCCCTCCTAACGTCACACGTCTGTGATCTTCAGAGAGGATGAGCACAGGATGGGCTGTTTTTGGATCCAGAGTCACATGTGCTGTTGGTGGCAGAAGCAGATAAGGGATGACAAAAAAAAAAGAAAGAAAGAAAGAAAGAAAGAAAGAAAGAAAGAAAGAAAGAAAGAACGAACTGATGGAAGATCAGTTTCCATCTCTGATTCTAAAAACATTGTCCTCTCAAATCTAGATTGGTTCTACATTATGCTACTTATGAGCAACAATTAAGCATGGGAAGCTTGGACTATGACTCTGGAGACCAGGGTTGGATTCCCCCTCTGTCATGGAAACCCCTGAGTAAACTTGTGCCTATCACCCACTCTCAGCCCCAGAAAACCCTATGATAGGATAGTCTTGGTTTGCCAAAAGCCAGAAAGAATATGAAGGCAGACTAATCATCTGGTTTTATGCCAATATTAAAGTCCCACATATTTCATATTGGGGCCATGGTAGCGCAGTGGGTTAAGTCGCTAGCTGCAAGAAAAACTGTCAATTGGAGGGTTGGCAGTTCAAAGCCATGAGTCAGGGTGAGCTCCCAACTATCAGTCTTAGCTTCTGCCAACATAGCAGTTCGAAAGCATGCGATGCGAGTAGATCAATAGGTACTGCCTTGGCAGGAAGGTAAAAGGATGTCTTATGCAGATATGCAAAACATGCTGTCAATTTCACCTCACTTCCTCTGAGGATGCTTGCTATAGATGCAGGCAAAACGTCAGGAGAGAATGCCTCTAGAAATGGCCATATAGCCCGAAAAAACCTACAACAACCCATGCTGGCAATAGATTGGAGAATGTATGGATAACAGGCTCCTTGGCATGGAAAAATGGAATGAGAGCACCTCACCATGGCCGGAAGTTGAGTGTCGCCTCCAGACGCCGGAGATGAAAAAAGGGAAGACATTTACTTCTGTCTCTCTATGTCATTGTGCAAAAGGCATCGAATGATTGCCTCATATGTGCTCTGTAATCTGCTCTGAGTCCCTCTGGGGACATAGAGCCGAATAGAAATAAAGTGTATTCTTATTCATATTCATATTGGGATAGGAGACCATGCTAGGGATGCATAATGTGTGCCATTAAAGTAAGCTTGATGCAAAGAGCCACAAAACGTCAGTATCCAGGTTATTTTGACACAGAATCTGGATATATGTCATTTGTTGAGAGCTTTAAAAATCTACTATTTTAATTACAACTCTGGGAAGCCAGAAACCGCACTTTGTTCAATCTCAAAGAAGAACTTTCAGTTTAAAGGCATTTCCTCCTAACCTGTGCTGCACAACATCGCTCTCAGTAGTTTGGAGGAAGAAACTGCATTCATTCTCCCGTGTAAATGTACCATAAGAGAAAGAGAAAAGGTTTTTGTTTGTTTTGTTGTGTTTGACTTTGTGGTATCTTGCATGGATAAGGCTGGGTAAAAAGGCAAATAAATGGAGATAAATCACACCTAAATGCTCCCAAGGAGCCAGGATTACCAAAGCAAGGCCATTCTATTTTAATCCAGAGTCCACTAGTGGTTTGAGAGTTGGACTAAAGCTCAGGGAAACCAGTGTTCAAATTCCCTCCTTTTTTCAGTGGAAACCCACTGGGTAACATTTATTTATTTATTTACAGTATTTATATTCTGTCCTTCTGACTCTGCAGGGGACTCAGGGCGGATCACAAAGCACATATACATGGCAAACATTCAATGCCATAGACACAAAACATATATAGACAGATACACAGAGGCTATTTAATTTTCCAGCTTCATGAGGGTATGCTTTTTTTTAAATTCCGGCCACTGGGGGAGCTGTTGCTTCACCGTCCATTTGTGACACCAATGGAGTACTTGCTCATTCTTTTACACACTGCTGGAGAGTTTTATGGTGTCAAAAATTAGTTAAATTAGCCTCCCCGCATAAGCGGTACCTAAATTTCCTACTTGATAGATGCAACTGCATCTTTCGAGCTGCAAAGGTTGACAGCAAGCTACACAAATGGTCAGGAGCTTACTCTGACTCGGGCTGGCTTCAAACTCATGACTTTTCGGTCAGTAGTTATTTTAATGCAGCTGACTCCCAACTAGCCATGCCACAACCCAGTCCTTTGACATTGGCCACGTTCCACTCTCTCAGCCTCAATGCAACACTCTATGAACCAATCTGTTTGTTTACCTTTTTTCTGCTGAAGTCCAGATTCCAGAGATGCTGGGGAGAGAAAGGAAAGCGTGAGGCTTCATACAACATAGTGACTTTCAGAAACCCAGGGGGAGACAACGCAGGAGGACTGAGATCCTGCACCCAAGAGACTTATTGTGGCTTCACCCGTGGAGTTACGTCTCACTGATTAAAATGTTCTCTCTAGGATCATAGAATCATAGAATCAAAGAGTTGGAAGAGACCTCATGGGCCATCCAGTCCAACCCCCTGCCAAGAAGCAGGAATATTGCATTCAAATCACCCCTGACAGATGGCCATCCAGCCTCTGTTTAAAAGCTTCCAAAGAAGGAGCCTCCACCACACTCCGGGGCAGAGAGTTCCACTGCTGAACGGCTCTCACAGTCAGGAAGTTCTTCCTCATGTTCAGATGGAATCTCCTCTCTTGTAGTTTGAAGCCACTGTTCCGCGTCCTAGTCTCCAAGGAAGCAGAAAACAAGCTTGCTCCCTCCTCCCTGTGGCTTCCTCTCACATATTCATAGGAAGATTCTCCAAGAAGTTGGCTGTAGAGTCATGCTGGGGGACTAGAGATCCCTACAGAGAACACCTCTCAAAGAATCTCTAGGTCCTCCAAGTGCAACTTCTTTCAGATGGTCAACGTCTCACTGCGCAACCTGGTCCCTTCTACACTGCCATAGTAAATCCTGATTATCTGCTTTGAACTGGATTATATGAAAGTGTAGACTCATATAATCCATTTCAAAGGAGATAATATGAATCTGGATTATATGTCAGTGTAGAAGGGGCCCCAGACATTTCCCGAGAGGTATTCTCTCAAGTTTTTTAAATCCACATTTCCAGGAGATTCCTGCGGATGGTGAGGACTGGCTAAACAATGTTCATATTCCCCTTTGAATTAAGATCATGAAATATGATGGATTGCTGATAAAGAAATGGGTGCCCCGTAACATTTGATTTTCCTAATGTGTAACTTGTACTCAACTAGTCCTCACATTAGCAGATTATATGAACCACAGTAAGGCCGATCATCACCCTTTACATCTGGGGTCCTCAAACTAAGGCCCGGAGGGTGGATGCGGCCCTCCAAGGTCATTTACCCGGCCCTCGCTCAGGGTCAACCTAAGTCTGAAATGACTTGAAAGTACACAACAATAACAACAATCCTATCTCATCAGCCAAAAGTAGGCCCACACTTCCCATTGAAATACTAATAATTTTATATTTGTTGAAATTGTTCTTCATTTTAATTATTGTATTGTTTTTAAGTGTTTTTTGCACTACAAATAAGATATGTGCAGTGTGCATAGGAATTCATTCATGTTTTTTTCAAATTATAATCCGGCCCTCCAACAGTTTGAGGGGCTGTGACCTGGCCCTCTGTTTAAAAAGTTTGAGGACCCCTGGTTTACATTATCATTTTGTTTTGCTTCCCAATCGATATGTTATTCCACACTTGAAAGAAAATAGAAAAGGAAAAAAATCAACAGAGCACATTGATACAATTTTGTTTCACATTTGGAAAGAAACAGTTGTTTCCATTTGCTGTTTTGTGGCACTAACTTTCCATACCCGTTGGGACCTTTCCTCTCCCCTTTCAGACTAAGACTAGGAAATCCTTGCAGACATTCTCCCTTACCCCTGAATTGCTTCATGACACCCTCCTGAAAGGGGTTTATATCACAGACATCCCAGATCTTCCACTTCAGGGCAGGAGGAAAGGCTGCAGAAGTCTCAAATTTCTCCTTATTCTTATACCTGGAGGAGAAAGAACAATATCAGAGGATGCACAAACAGAATGAATGCAGTTTGACACCACTTTAAGTCCTCCATGGCTCAATGCTATGCAATCATGGGAACTGTAGTTCTACGAGGCCGTCTCTGCCAAAGAGTGCTGCTGCCTAGAGCCATTGCAGATCATGAAAATTTCAAACTGTGAACTTCAAATGTACATTTTATTTGTATTGCATTTGATTCCTTGGCGCCCCCGGTGGCTCCAGTGGGTTAAACCCTTGTGCCGGCAGGACTGAAGACCGACAGGTTGCAGGTTCAAATCCGGGGAGAGGCGGATGAACTCCCTCTATCAGCTCCAGCTTCTGATGCGGGGACATGAGAGAAGCCTACCACAAGGATGATAAAAACATCAAATCATCCAGGCATCCCCTGGGCAACGTCCTTGCATATGGCCAATTCTCTCACACCAGAAGCGACTTGCAGTTTCTCAAGTCACTCCTGACATGACTAAAAAAAAATTGATTCCTTGCCCTGTGAACTTCAATATATGTGTTTTGTGATGGTGTGTTGTAATGTACACATTTTATGGTATGTATTCATAGTATTTGCTTTGGCTGGATTGTGTCCTGCCTTGAGTCATGAAGAGAGGTGGATAACAAATTAAAGTTGTTGTGGTTGCTGTTGTTGTTGTCAAATTGCACTAATTCTAGAGTGTCCTCAAACATTTTAAACAGAGGGCCAGGTCACAGTCCCTCAAACTGTTAGATAGCCAGATTATAATTTGGAAAAAAATTGAATGAATTCCTACGCACACTGCACGTATCTTATTTGTAGTGCAAAAGACACTTAAAAACAATACAATAATTAAAATGAAGAACGATTTTAACAAATATAATCTTATTACTATTTCAATGGGAAGTGTGGGCCTGCTTTTGGCTGATGAGATAAGATTGTTGTTGTTGTTGTGTGCTTTCAAGACATTTCAGACTTTGGTTGACCCTGAGATAGGGCCAGGTAAATGAGCTTGGAGGACCGTATCCGGCCCTTGGGCCTTAGTTTGAGGACCCCTGGTATAGATGCTGCACAGAATCATAGAGTTGAAGGGTTCTTGTTGGCCATCAAGTCCAATTCTGCCCGTGAACACCAGCCCAACAGACTCCTGCAATGCACTGCTGCTTTTGAGAGTCATGCATATCATGTGGGAATTTGAGCTTTAGTTGGAGGAGAGGAAATGAACTTACCCTTGTAAGAAGCTTCTGATATCCTGTAAATAAAGGTAAGAAAGAACTTAGCAGAGGCATTTGCATGGAGACTGCTCTCAAAAACAGGGTATCCAACTTACAGAAATCATTGAAGCAAACCCAGGAGGGTGAAGCAGAACTCCTTCCACAAACTAAGGAGGAGATGGGTAGAGCTATGTCACCACTGGCACTATTTTGTAAACAGCATTTTGGCTGAGCCACCAAAACACTGGTCTAGCCCTAGTATAATAGGAATCTGGATCTCTTCAGTCCAACCAGATGAAATGCAAGAACGCACAATCAAAGCATTCCCAACAGACAGCCATCTATCTTCTATTTAAAAACCTCCAGAGAAGGAGACTCCACCACATTTTGAGTTGTAGAAACGTAATGGTAACATATGGGAGCTGGCAGTCTGATTATACGAAGTTTTGCAACAGTGAAGAAGTTAGGAAAAAAAGAAAAGAGAGAAAGAGCCAGGTCTGTTTTGTTAATTAAAGAAATGTATGATTTCATATAGCTATATTTATATATTTGAAGATGTTTCTTGGGGCAAGTGGGTTAAGGGAATTTTATCTTTTTATCTGTCTTTCTCTTGAGGCTGAGAAAGTGAGGCTCAGGAGGTGAGGGAAAGGTTAGTAGTAACAGCAAAATCTTGGCTCCATGGGTTTCCACAGAATCACAAAACGAATGTTGCTGAGATGAAAGCATTAGGGCTTCATAGAATCAAAGAGTTGGAAGAGACTTCGTGGGCCATCCAGTCCAACCCCCTGCTAAGAAGCAGGAAAATTACATTCAAAGCACCCCCGACAGATGGCCATCCAGCCTCTGTTTAAAAACCTCCAAAGAAGGAACCTCCACCACACTCCGGGGCAGAGAGTTCCACTGCTGAACGGCTCTCACAGTCAGGAAGTTCTTCCTCATGTTTAGGTGGAATCCCCTTTCCTGTAGTTTGAAGCCATTGCTTCACTTCTTAGTCTCCAGGGCAGCAGAAAACAAGTTTGCTCCCTCCTCCCTGGGACTTTCCTCCATATCTTTATACATGGCCATCATGCCCCCCTCTCAGCCTTCTCTTCTGCAGGCTTAACATGCCCAGTTTTTTAATCAACTGCAAATCAACCAGGGCTCTGCCTATACAATAATCTACAACACAGCTGCGCTTCACACATATACAAACACACATATACACAAATATATACGAACGGAAGACAGGTATCAAAACGACCCACAGAAGAGCAAAAACAGAAGGGTTTGGGCATCTACAAACAAACTGTGAACCGATACTTTAAAGAAGGTGAAAGTTTCATAAAAAGAATAATTATTGATCACGAGACATGGATTCATAGAAGCCTGAAAGTAAACGACAGAGTATGGAATGAAAACATCCTCAGTCGCCAACCAATAAAAAAAATCAAAAGCAACCCATCTGCTGGAAATGAATGTTTACATTTTTCTGAGATTCTCAACGGCCAGTGCTGAAATATTATCAGGAAGAAGGTTCAACAATTTACAGGGCTCACTACACTGAAGTGCTGAGGCCCAACATTCAGACAAAATGCAGGGGACTGCTATCAGAGTGCGTTGAGTTGTTGCATGGCAAGGCATGCCTGCACACTGCTGCCAACACTCTACAAAAACTTTGTTTTGAAATGTTAAAACATCTTCCCTATAGTCCTGATCTTCCCATTGGACTATCACCTACTTGGACCCCTGAAAAAAGCACTATGAGGACGAAGATTGATGTTTGATGTAGAGATGTAGACAGTGGTTCATTTGTTTCGAGTGCCCCATGCAGCTATACAGACACGTCGGCAACACAATTGGAGATGTCTACAGACACAGGCCCCTTGGCATGGAAAAATAGAACAAGAGCACCTCCCCTTAGCTGAAGTTGAGCATCAGCTCCAGACGCTGGAGATGGAAAAAAGGGGAAGGCCTTTACCTTTGTCTGAGTTGTATGTCGTCGTTCATTGTGTGAAAAGAAAAAAAAATTGAATATTTGCCTCATATGTGTATTGTAATCCTTTCTGTGTCCCTCTGGGGAGATAAAGCAGAATATAAATAAAGCATATTATTATTGTATTGTCGAAGGCTTTCATGGCCGGAATCACTGGGTTGTTGTAGGTTTTTTCGGGCTATATGGCCATGTTCTAGAGGCATTCTCTCTTGACGTTTCGCCTGCATCTATTCAGGCCATTGTATGCTAATCAAGGTGGTCAGTTGAAACATTCACACCTAGCTCCAGCAGACAAGAGTCCTTTGTCTCACCCTGGTCATTCCACAGATATATAAACCCTTTTGCCTAGTTCCAACAGACCTCACTACCTCTGAGGATGCTTGCCATAGATGCAGGCGAAACGTCAGGAGAGAATGCCTCTAGACCATGGCCATATAGCCCGAAAAAACCTACAACATATTATTATTATTATATTATTATTTCAATAAGGGAATACAAAAGCTTGTTGACAGTTGGACAAACAGGAGATGATGTCAAAAATGATGTATTTGTCTTTTCTGATAGTTGATTAAAATAAATTCTACAGCCAGACTGTGTACAATTTTTGATGTGTTTGTGTGATCGATCAATCTGATCTTAGAGATGGAACCCAAGTCAGTTTCAAATTCATTTATGTTTCTTCTTTGCCTTATAAACACAGCACAAAGGTAATGTCATACGACAGTTTATATACACAGAACCATGAGAAAAATGAAGTGTCGCTGTCTCAGCCACCCATTGGGACAATATGGGCCTTACCTGGAGGAGTTCACTTGCCGGCTGCTGATGCTTCTCCTCCATCTCTTGGATAAGTTTTGAGAGAGAGGAGAGTTCTTCAGAGAGTTTGGATAGATGTTCCTCCTCTTTTACTGAAATCTCCTTCTCTATCTCTTCTATTTTTGCCAGGAGATTCCTCTCTTGTTCTTCTAAAAACTGATGCATGCATTTGAATGTAGCCACAGTCTTCTCCTTCTCTCTTTTGGTTTTCTCCTAGAATAAAGGAAACACGAGTGAGAGGCAGAAAGAAGGATTTTGGAGTGAATTATCTGGGTTCCTTTGGAGTGGGGCTTACATCTCTTCACATAGAAAATGTCAGTATCTAGTGCTGAAAGTGGTTTGTAAAGACCTGCAAGAGCCTGCCACTGGAATGGGCTTGGGTCAATATTTTCTGTGGGCCATCGGGTCTCTTATAATGAGGGATTTGACAAAATGAATTCAGTTTATTCTGACTCACATTTAAGTCTGTAATACATTCCTGTTTTCCTGTAGCAATGCCACTTACGAGCAATTCTTGGCTTTCCCGCGCTGCATCTGCTTTGCAGGCCATAATTTTCTCTCTCTCCTTCTTCAGACTCTCCAGAGAATCCCAAATCTGATCCTGAAGAGGAATCATAGAATCAAAGAGTTGGAAGAGACCTCATGAGCCATCCAGTCCAACCCCCTGCCAAGAAGTAGGAATACTGCATTCAAATCACCCCTGACAGATGGCCATCCAGCCTCTGTTTAAAAGCTTCCAAAGAAGGAGCCTCCACCACACTCCGGGGCAGAGAGTTCCACTGCTGAACGGCTCTCACAGTCAGGAAGTTCTTCCTAATGTTCAGATGGAATCTCCTCTCTTGTAGTTTGAAGCCATTGTTCCGCATCCTAGTCTCCAGGGAAGCAGAAAACAAGCTTGCTTCCTCCTCCCTGTGGCTTCCTCTCACATATTTTTACATGGTTATCACATCTCCTCTCAGCTTTCTCTTCTTCAGGCTAAACATGCCCAGCTCCTTACGCCGCTCCTCATAGGGCTTGTTCTTCATACCCTTGATCATTTTAGTCGCCCTCCTCTGGACACATTCCAGCTTGTCAATATATCTCTTGAATTGTTGTGCCCAGAACTGGACACAATATTCCAGGTGTGGTCTAACCAAAGCAGAATAGAGGGGTAGCATTACTTCCCTAGATCTAGACACTATGCTCCTATTGATGCAGGCCAAAATCCCATTGGCTTTTTTTGCTGCCACATCACATTGTTGGCTCATGTTTAACTTGTTGTCCGCGAGGAGGCCTTGCTCAATTTTGTTGTTTAGAATGTTTTCAAATATCATGCCATCAACCATACCACATTTACTGAATTTTATGGGAGCTTTGGACAACGTTGACCTCTATTGACCGCTCTCTTTTCTTTTAAAACTGCTTCCACAATTTTCTTTACTCATAAAAAGGCTCTCCAAATGAAAAAAAAAGTATCTGAAAAAAAAGTATCTGTTCTTTAAATTCCCCTTTCCATTCCATTTTCTGAGTGTAAAATGATGCAGGCAAAACTTCAGGATAAAATGCTGCTAGAACACAGCCTTATAGCCTGGAAAACACACAATACCCTAGTGATTCTGGCCATGAAAGCCTTTGACAAAACCCAATATTTTCTACATCAAAGAGTTTGCATTCCTACTTCCCAGGTCAGATTAATTTAACCTATTTTTTTCTAAAATGAAATGAATCTCTGCCTGCTTGGTTGTATTTCATAGAATCATAGAATCAAAGAGTTGGAAGAGACCTCATGGGCCATCCAATCCAACCCCATTCTGCCAAGAAGCAGGAATATTGCATTCAAATCACCCCTTACAGATGGCCATCCAGCCTCTGTTTAAAAGCTTCCAAAGAAGGAGCCTCCACCACACTCTGGGGCAGAGAGTTCCACTGCTGAACGGCTCTCACAGTCAGGAAGTTCTTCCTCATGTTCAGATGGAATCTCTAGAACCAGCGAAGAGGGCCATTGTACACAACAACCACTATTACATCCTGAACATACATTTGACAGACACCATGCAAGGAAAAGAGAAATGTTTGCATTGAAACAAGTCTATTTTTAAGTTTTGAGTCTAATCATGCTAAAGCATTTGTTGCTTTGAGTATAATGCATCACTAATACTAAATAAGGCTAAATGGAAATTGGTGAGAATAAATTTCTGAAACAGAGTTGTAAGATATCAGGCCTGGACCCATTTATCCCGTTGTGTGGGCCATCTCCTGGTGGGATAAAAGAATGCCATTTCTCCAGCTTTACTGGTCTTAGCTCCAAGCAAGATGAAAGGGCTCCAGGCAAATCTCCAGTTCACCTACTAGAAGGCAAGCTTGTTGTTACAATCTGCAGGCTGTTCAGTTTATCGAAATAGCTGAAAAGTAGGTTCCAGGCCAAGAAAGGCAGTTAGAGGCTTCTTGTTGTTGTTCATTCGTTCAGTCGCTTCCAACTCTTCATGACCTCCTGAACCAGACCACGCCATAGCTCCCCGTCAGCCATGGTCACCCCCAGCTCCTTCAGAGTCAAGCCAGTCACTTCAAGGATGCCAACCATCCATCTTGCCTTTGGTCGGCCTCAATTTCCTTTTTCTTTCCATTTTCCCCAGCATCATTGTCTTCTTTAAGCTTTCCTGTCTTCTCATTATGTGGCCAAAGCACTTCATCTTTGCCTCTCATATCTTTCCTTCCAATGAGCAGCCACGCATTATTTCCTGGAGGATGGACTGGTTGGATCTTCTCGCGATCCAAGGCACTCTCAGAATTTTCCTCCAGTACCACAGTTCAAAAGCGTCTCTCTTCCTTTGCTCAGCCTTCCTTGTGGTCCAGCTCTCACATTACTATGTGGAATACTATTCCTTTGACTATGCAAATCTTCGTTGCCAGTGTGATGTCTCTACTCTTCACTATTTTATTGAGATTGGCCATTGCTCTCCTCCCAAGAAGGAAACGTCTTGTGATTTCCTGGCTGCAGTCTGCATCTGCAGTAATCTTTGCGCCTAGAAATACAAAGTCTGTCATGGCCTCCACATTTTCTTCCTCTATTTTCCATTTGTCAATAATTCTTGTTGCCATAATCTTGGTTTTTTTTAATGTTTAACTGGAACCCAGCTTTTGCCCTTTCTTCTTTCACCTTGATTAGAAGGCTCCTCAGCTCCTCCTCGCTTTCACCCATCAAAGTGGTGTCATCTGCATATCTAAGGTTGTTAATGTTTCTTCCAGCAATTTTAACACCAGTCTTGCATTCCTCAAGCCCCGCACATCACATGACGTGTTCTGCATACAAACTGAATAGGTTGGATGAGAGTATACAGCCCTGCCGTACGCCTTTCCCAATCTTGAACCAATGTGTTGTTCCGTGGTCAGTTCTGACTGTTGCTACTTGGTCCTTGTACAGATTCCTCAGGAGGCAGACAAGGTGACCTGGTATCCCCATACCACCAAGGACTTGCCACAATTTATTATGATCCACACAGTCAAAGGCTTAACCACTGCATGCTCAGTGGTGTCCCACCAAGGCGCACATTGGCAATGGGATTTTATCCAAACACATAAGGGGCTCAGGCCATAGGGCATAGAAGTATTTAGCTGTTTCCTTCCCTCTCTACCAGGACTCATTCTCTGCCCTGCTTTGCATCCACCTTCTGGCTGGAAGAAAGGGTTTGCTAGTCCCACCTCATTCTGCCATTCAGGATCACACAATCAAAGAATTCTCGCTGACAGATGGCCATCCAGCCTCTGTTTGGAAAAGACTTCCAACATGTTTAGATTCATTATATTTAATCATTATATTTAATCAGCTATTGCCATCAGAAAGTTCTTCCTAATGTTCAAGGGACATTTTTTTATCTGTTGTTCAAATCTCATGATACATCTATGCTGTAGAATTAACACACTTTAACACTACTTTAACAGCCAGGGCTCAATGCTATGGGATTTTGAATGTGTGGTTTGGTAAGGTGCTGGCACACCTTGGCAAAAAAGCAAAAGACCCTGTACAACTGCAACTACCATGGTTTGTAGCATTCAGTCATGGCAGTGAAAGTGGAATCAAACTGCATTAATTCTACAATGTAGATGCTCCCTTGATCTCTGAAAACCTCAGGGTCTGGGGAAATATGGAACCGCCAGCCACAGACCTGTATTGTGGGGTGGAGATGCACCACAACACCTCGTTAGGATTCCTATTTTACCCCTCCTACCTTGTACTCCTTTGATGCTTCATCCAGAGGAATCACTTTGTGGTTTTCGTGCTCTTTTGCCTTGTCACACACCACACAGATGGGGTCTTCGTGGTCCTTGCAGAAGAGCTTCAGGGGCTCCTGGTGCCTCTCACAGACTCTTCCCTTTTCTTCCACCTTCAGGCTCCACAGTTCCTTGACTATTTCCACCAGATTCACCAGCTGCCTATTTGGCCTGGTGTCTCCTTCCTGCACTTTCTCCCTGCACTGGGGGCAGGAGGCCTCTTTCTCCTCCCAGCATCGATCCAGGCAGGACTGGCAGAAATTGTGCCCACAGGAGAGGCTCACAGGCTCCTTGAAATACTCCAAGCAGATGGGACAGGCCAGTTCTTCACAGAGCTTCTTCATAGAGTCTCCAGAGGCCATGGCTGCAGATGCTGCTCCAACTGCTGCCAACTGCAGAAAACAGAGTTAATGGTTTTACTTTAGTTTCTCAGACGAAGACCCCAGTGGCATAATGAGTTAAACCCTTGCACTGGCAGGATTGATGACCAACAAGTCGGGGCTTCGAATCTGGGGAGAGCATGGATGAGCTCCCTCTGACAGCTCTAGCTCCTCATACGGGGACATGAGAAAAGCCTCCCACAGAGATGGTAAAACATCAAAACATCCGGGGTCCCCTGGGCAACGTCTTTGCATGCGGCCAGTTCTTTCACACCAGAAGGGACTTGCAGTTTCTCAAGTCGCTCCTGACACAAAAAATAAGTTAAGTTTCTCAGAGGTTCTCTTCCAGGAAAGAAGCCAATTACTCTGCCTCTGCCCAACCTTTTGTGCGTCAACTCTAACCGCTCCCAAGGCTTTGGGTTTCAGGAACCTGGATATTAAAATGCTTCTTTTGTTGTTGTTCATTCGTTCAGTCGTCTCCGACTCTTCGTGACCTCATGGATCAGCCCACGCCAGAGCTCCCTGTCGGCCGTCACCACCCCCAGCTCCCTCAAGGTCAGTCCAGTCACTTCAAGGATGCCATCCATCCATCTTGCCCTTGGTCGGCCCCTCTTCCTTTTGCCTTCCACTTTCCCCAGCATAATTGTCTTCTCTAAATGCTTCTTTAGCTACTGGTTTATTTCCAGATACAACCTCAATGAAATCGCTGGTCGCAACCTATAAATCTCTATGCATTTTAGGTCCAGCGTATCTGTAAGATCAAACTGTGCTCCTCCAGATGTTTTGGACTTTGATAATAGGAATGGTTGGTTTGAAATGGCATTACATACTGGTTTTATTTATATTTATTTAATTAGGGTATTTCTATATTGCCTTTCCCCAACAACTCAAGGCGCTTTACAACAATAGGTAAAACGCAACAGTATAAATAACTCATTGAAATAATCCCAAGTCTGTTAGAGGCCTTATAGTCTTTTAAATTGTATATTTATATTTACATTATTGTGCTATTTTGTTTTTATTAATTGATATGTGATTATTGTCTGTGTTATATTATTTATTATATTTATTTGTTTTGTTGTAAGCTGCCCTGAGTCCCTCTGAGGAAAGGGGGCGGGATATAAAGAAAGCTTTTGATGATTATTATTATCTTATGTTTGTTGTACGGCATTGACTATCAGAACCTCAAAATTGAACTGCAAAGGCTCTGACATCAACCAGTACAGGTGGTCCCAGTGGTCATTGGCACACTGGGTGCCGTGCTAAAAGATCTCAGCCGGCATTTGAAAAAATAAACATTGACAAAATCATGATCGGTCAACTGCAAAAGGCCACCTTACTTGGATCTGCACGCATCATTCAAAAATACATCACACAGTCCTAAACGCTTGGGAAGTGTTCGACTTGTGATTTTGTGATATGAAATCCTGCAAATAGATCTTATTTGCTGTGACATACTGTGTTTTTGTGTCAGTAAAATAATAATAATAATAATAATAATAATAATAATAATAATAATAATAATAATAGGGTTGTCGTAGGTTTTTCGGGCTGTATGGCCATAGTCTGGAAGCATTCCCTCCTGACATTTCACCTGCATCTATGGCAGGCATCCTCAGAGGTTGTGAGGTCGCAACCTCTGAGGATGCCTGCCATCGATGCAGGTGAAACATCAGGAGAGAATGCTACTAGAGCATGGCCATACAGCCCAACAAACCTACAACAACCCAGTGATTCTGGCCATGAAAGCCTTCGACAATATAATAATAATATTATTATAATAATTGAGTATTATATATTACATGTAATATTACTACTAATACTGCTGTTTAGTGGTATATATAGTACAATATAGTAACATATAATACTAATATCGAGCCATGCTATTAATATACTATATTGTATATACATATAATATCGATAATATAATGTAATACAATATAGTACTACTAATAATAATTTATAACATTGCAAAATTGAAATTAAATGTAAAGGTAAAGGTTTTCCCCTCTGGGGGTTGGTGCTCATCTCCATTTCTAAGCCGAAGAGCTGGCATTGTCCGTAGACACCTCCAAGGTCATGTGGCCGGCATGATTGCATGGAGCACCGTTACCTGGAGTGGTACCTATTAATCTACTCACATTTGCATGTTTTTGAACTGCTAGGTTGGCAGAAGCTGGGGCTGACAGCGGAAGCTCACGCCGCTCCCTGGATTTGAACCTGTGACCTTTCAATCAAAAAGCTCAGCAGCTCAGCACTTTAACCCACAGCACCACCGGGGGCTCCTATACTAACATATTAACATATATAATACTAGGATCGTGCCATGCTATTAATAACATATACTAACATATTAAACATATATAATACTAGTATCGTGCTATGCTATTAATATGTTGTTGTTCATTCGTTCAGTCGTCTC